ACGACGACGACGACGACGACGACGACGGCAACGTCGACGACGACGACAACGACGACGACGACGAAGACGATGACTCTAAGCTTGCCTGGCACGAGCCCCGAAGGGCTTTGCGCACAGAGCACTGAGAAGCTGAGAGCAAAAGCCCCGAAAGATTCTGATCACGACGTCGCCGACGACGACTCGAAACTTGCCTGGCGCTAGCCCCGAAGGGCTTGAGGAGATGGGGGAGGAGGAGATGGGGGAAGGGGGAGGGGAAGGGCAGCGTGGAACGCCACCACGAGAACGCCACTTGAGAATCCCCCGCCCTAACATTAGGTCGGGCATGTCCTCCTACAGGCGGATTGTGGAAGCGAAAAATAGCCAAAAAATATGCAAAAAAGACATCTTCCCCTTACTATTGTTGCAAATTCCTCCTGTAGAGGGACATGCCCGATTTAACCCTAATAACACATCGGATCTCGGGGGGGTGGCCTCTGGTGCGAGGCAGGCCGCGGGGGGCTACAGGTCCACGAGCGCACACCCGTGGCTGGGGAACGCCGGTGGGCGAGAAACCGAGGCTGCCACTCTGGCGGTTGGCCGCTCCCGCGCGTAGCCGAGCCCTCCCCGGTGGTGACCACGAAGTCGGCCGCGGCGCGGCAGCACTGCAGCACCAGCCCGTCGGCCTCGCTGGAGGGCGCGCCCTGCTCTCCCACGCGGCACGTCGCCCACCCGCCCTCGGCCCGCGTCACCAGCGTGGGGTGCACCGTCAGAGCCGCGTCCCGTGGGCAGTCCGTGGGGCGAGGGAGGCTTCGGGGACCAGCAGTCACGTAAACCGAAAGTTTCGGAGGTCCGCGCGGACTTCCCAGATCGGCGCAGGGACCCCCCTGGCGGCGCCTCCGGCGCCGCCCCTGGCGCGCTCCGCGCGCCAATGGAGGGATCCCAGCGCCGATCCGAGAAATCCGCGCGGACCTCGGAAATCTTATGTCTCTGTCATTGTTTGATCCTCGCAGCATGCGCACCACCGCCGTGCATCCACAGGCCAACTTTGGGGCCAGCCCTCGGCTTTTGCTGGCCCCCGGCCGAGCTGGCAGGCGCCGTGTGCACCAAGCTCTGGCCCCAGAGCGGGCCTGTGCGTGTCTGGAGGTGACGCTTACTTCCCGAACCTCACACGTCTTAGGTGGGCCACATGCGAACCCATCCCCTCCCCCTCAGAGATCGTGGGGGGCAGGGGTGGGGTTCGCATGTGGCGCTCGACGTGTGCGCGGGCCCTGGGGCTCTGGGCCCGAGTCCTGGGGGCCCCATGTTTGTCTCACCCGATCGCCCTCTTGGCAGTCCTCGGGCCCAGGAACGGCCCCGGCGACCAGAGATGGCGGAAAGGAACTGCGCTCTGCTTCACGACGACGGAGGATGTCCTTACCCACGCAGGAGGCGTGCAGCACACCACCGCCATGCCTGGCCAGGCCACGGGCGTGAGGACAAGCATGCAAGGATACGAGGCACCTGGAGAACGCCAGAGGATGACCAGGAGGCCCAGGAAGAGGATCCCAGGGATGTCAAGGAAGCTCGGAGCCGAGGGACGCAAGGGACCCTGGCTTCTCGCGCCCGTCATAATGATAGGTTCCGACTGCACAAGTGCCTTACGTTGCATCCCTGGGAAACCTTGTCTGTCTCATCGCGCCGCTATCTGCGTCAAGTCCGCGTCGAAGCCATGTCGAGCGCGTCGAGTCCGTGTCGACTCCTTGTCGAATCTGCGTCGAATCCGCGCCAAACCCGCGTCGAGCCCGCATCACGCCCCGCGTGGGGCACGACAGAAGACGACAACTCTGGGGGACAGTCGAGGCCCCCCGAAGATGCATCGTAAGGTGGCTTCTGCGGACCATCCTCACGCAGCCTCGTCTCTATATCAGGGGGTGAAACGACCAAAACTGTGCCCGAACATCCGCTCGAGTGTGACCGAAACCGGCGCCCGAGATTGTCCGACGGCACCCGAGTGTGACCGAGACGCTCGGTTCGAAACATCTACGATTTCCACTTTCGGCCAACCAATCTCGGTCGCATTCTGCGCCTTCGGCCTCAACTTCGGGCACGTTCTCGGTCATCGTTTGTTGGGTCGCACACGATTTCGGCTGATAGGGGCCAGGCGCCATTAGAGTGTTTGCTATTTTTCGCGAGGACGGCCGTTACCAGCCCTGGCCGCCCCCCTCCCCACCCCGCCCCAAATGACGTTACGACTCCTGCTGACCTCCGCGCTGTGTGTCTCTATTCCTAGAAGCACTCCCGGACGGCACCGGCACGAAACGTGATGTCACCTGGCCTCCCAGCCCCCGCCCCCCCCGCGGTAACGCCCTCTGTCGCCCAGGAACAGGAAAACGCTCTTTTCTTGGCGGCGTGCACAGGAGGGCAGGGAAAGAGAGGAAGGTTTCTTAGAAGAAGCCTGCTTCTCAGCACGCGCCGGCCCTGCATCTGTAGAGCAGGCCCGCACCTTCCGGGAAGCAGGGGTGCTTCTAAGCCGCCCTCCCCCCCCCCCCCCCCCCACCCCCCTCTGTACGTGGCTGATGCGACCTTCCCCCTCCCCAGTCCAAAGCGCGCAGCAGGGCGTCCGCAAAGCGCCGCCCGAAGCGCGCCCGCAGCAGCTCCCGCAGCTCCGCCATCGAGGGAGGCGCGCACCGCCCCGGGGGGGGGGGGGGGGGGGGGCGCGCCCACGGTTGCGCAGGAGCCCAGCCCAGGGCCACCACGGACGGGTCCTCAGCACGGTCCTGGAGGGACCAAAGAAGGCCTGAGACTGCCCCAAGAAACTCTTCGGCCGCAAGAAGCTCTTCAGAGGCCCCAAGAAGCTCCTCAGCCCCCCCCCAGCGAGTTCGACTAATGCCCCAAGAAACTCTTCGGACGTCCCCAGAAGCTCTATAGAGGCCACAAGAAGTTCCCCAGAGGCCCCAAGAAGCTCTCCAGCCCCCTCAAGGAGCTCTTCGGCCCCCCAGGACAATCTTCAGATGCCCTCACAGGGTCGTCATACGTTTTTTATCAACTATGAGCGAGGGTATGGGTCTCTTCCTGCCAGCCCCCCCAAGGAAGATCTTCAGATGCCCTAAGAGGCTCATCATACGTTTTTAATCGGCTATGAGGATGTGGGTCTGGGTCTCTTCCTGCAAGCGACCCCCCTCTGCCGTTCTCGATGATCTACAGGGTCCCGAGCACCCCTGGCCATACAAACAGCCACCAGGCCGTACAAACACCCAACGGGCCACATCAACACCCTCTTTCCCCCGACCTCCCCTGGGGTCCGCTCTGACCAGAATTCCGAGGCGAATCCAGCGGTGGCGACAAGGGCCGCCCAGGTGGCCCAGGAAGGGGAAAAACCGGGCAAGGGTAGCCGCAATGATGGGAAACTGATTCCTCCTCTGACAGGCGCTCCTGGGCTTAAGTTGGGCGTGTCCCCCTACAGGGGGATTCTCGACGAAAAATACAAACGCTCAAAAAATCTTCCAAAATTGACAAAAAAATGCTAAAAAAATAGTGCCCTGACTATTTTTGGACTATTTTTGAATATTCCTCCTGTAGAGGGACAGGCCCGACTTAATCCTGGGCGCGCCCAGGGCGCCCGCGCGGCGCCACCGCACGCCCTGCTGGCGGCAGTGGACGCTGGCGGTAAGCCGTCAACCTACTCACCGCCGGGGACCTCGAGGAGCTCCAACTCACGTGCAAGTCAGGCGTGTCCCCCTGCAGGGGGATTCTATAGGCGAAAGATGAGCAGCACTCCAAAAAGATACCCCCGAAGTGCTAAAAGATGGATGGTCAAAAATCGTCCCCAGCCTGCCTTTTTGACTACTTTTGAATCATTCCCCCCGTGGAGGGACAGGCCCGCCTCACACTCACGCGGCCAGCTCCGCACGTCTGCCCCGAGGCCCACCACAGACACGGAGCGACGACCCCCCAGAGAACTATGCCACTCTCCGGCGTCCACGCGACGTCGGCTTCCCTAAATAAGGAGCCACCGGCTCCCTATGGGGGAGCCACTGGCTCCCTCATTTTTCGACACCCCTCACGAGGATCGTGGCCTCCGAGGGGGGAGCCGCAATCGACTACCCCCAAGAGCCCCCCAAGAGGCCCTGGGGGCCTCCAAAACGCCGCCAAGGAGCCCCAAGAGACTCCCAAGAGGTCCCCAAGAGGCCCCCAAGAGGCCCTAAAGAGGGCTCCAGGGCCGGCGGCATGAGCGAAGCGATTAAATAAGGATCCACTGGCTCCCTCATAGGGAGCTCTTGTCGCTGACCCCTAGAAAGGAGCCAACAGGACCATGGGGAACTATGCCGTTTTCCGGCGTCGGCGCGGCGTCGGCTCCCCGCGCGGCGTCCGGGCCGCGCGGCGTCACTGCACGCCCTGCTGGCGGCACATCGACGCCAGCGCGCCCGGGAGCTCGGAGCCCGCCGCGGCCCCGGAGCCCAGCAGCGCGCCTCGCGGGCGGCCCCCCGGCGGGCGGAGCGGAGGCCCGCGGGCCGGGGCGGGGCCAGACGGGAAAATGACCACAGCCACTGCTTCTTGTTTGCGCCGCCTTCCAGCCAGCCGAAAGAGAAGCGGTGGTTGTGGTCATTTCCCTGGTGCCAATCTTAACGAAAATGACCACAACCACTGCTTTGTTTCTGCTGGCTGGAAGGCGGCAACAAAAGAAAAGCAGTGGCTGTGGTCGTTTTCACGTCCCGGTGACCACCTGCCAGGCCACCCCAACCCAACTCGAAGGCCCGAGATTCAGGCGGGGGGGGGGGGCACGTCGAGTAGGGGATCGCCTACAGAACTGGCTCACCCCAGAACTGATTCGTGTGCCTCATGCGTGAGAAAGGCGCAGAGTGCTCGTGGAGAGATCCACGAGCACTCTACGTGCGACTCGACCGACGAGCGGATCAATCACGGGGCAAAGCCATGTTGCAGTCGATCCCCTACTCGCGTACGGGTTCCGTCTGGGTTTCTCCCACACTCCCCGACGCCGTCACCCACTGGGGATGGTTGCGCAGGGACCGACCGTCCCGGCATTCCTGTAGTCCTACCACGAAATGCTCCTGGAACCCAAAAATGCTCTAAGAACAAAAACAATGTCCTTAGAACATAAGCCCGATGTGGTAAAACAAGACACAGTCCCAACCAGACATGTTCTGAGAACAGCTCGTGGAAACCACACAGAGTTCTTAGAACACTCTTTGGTAGGGCTATAGGCGAGCCAGGACGCTTCGCCACTGCTTGAACCCGGGGGCCTCCGGGCTGGGCCGGGGTGGTCTGCTGGGCGGCGGGAGAGCGGACCCTCCGGAGACCGAGCGGAGACCCACGGCCGGGCTCGCGTGCCGTGGCGGCCCAGCCCCCCCCCGCGGACGTGCCCCGCGCTCGGTCCAGGCGCCCTTCCTCGAGCTCGGCCCCTTGGGCCCGGCCGCGGGCCGCGGGGAGATCAATCGTCGATTAATGGGCCCTGGGACACACAAGTAAATAAATACATACAGAAAGCAGGATTCCCCAAATTTTCCTAATGTTTCCTGGGTTTTTCGTCTCCCCCCCCCCACTTCCCATATTTTCCTATGTTTTCTGGGCAATCGACGATTTCTTGGGCCCGGCCGCGGGGCCAGCAAGAATGGATCCGGGTCGAAAAAGAACTACCCTTACGTCGGGCCTGTCCCTCTACAGGGATAAGATTCAAAAATTTAATAATAATGATAATAATAATAAATAGAAGAAGAAGAAGAAGAAGAAGAAGAAGAATGCATTTTTACGGAAAAAATATGGGGACTATTTTTTGCTATGTTTTGACAATTTCTGCATTTGTTTAGTGCTTTTTATTTTTCATCGAAAATCCCCCTTTAGGGGGGCCACGCCCGACCAAAAACTACCCCCAGGGCAGGGGTCATCATATTGCAGGCTGTCGGGCCGGCTCTCCTCGAGTTCTGCCTCCGGGGCCCGTCAGCGGGGCCCCCGGGTCACAGAGATGGGTCCGGGACCCCCCCCCCAAAAAAGGACCCCCAGGGAAGGGGTCGTTTTTTTGGGGGGTACCCCCCCCAAAAGAAACGACCCCCCAGGGACGGGGGGAAGGGACCCCCCCCCAAAAAAAAACGCCCCCCCCCCTCCCCCCCAAAAAAAGACCCCCACTTGTGGGACCGCAAGCTTAACAAAAGGTCGTATCGGAGGAGGTCTGGGAACCCAGCGCTGATTTCTGACATCGCGCGGATCGTTCAGTCTTGAACGATCAGCGGTTCCTCGATCGCCAGATCGTTCCATTTTTGTAGAGGCCTCCCAGTTGGGGTCGGAGGATCGGGCCGCATCGCCGATGCATCGCCAACGCGATCGGCGGCGTCAGTGATGCATCGGTGCCGTCGGCGTGGAGAAAGTCGGGCTCCGCAACGAGCCGCATCGCCGATGCATCGGCGATGCGATCCTCCGACCCCATCTACTCCGACCCTGAGATCCCACGTTGCGAAAAAAAACAACATTCATTGCAAAAAAAACACGAACGGAGCTCCAGACCCCATCTTTCTTCGTCATTTGTCGAGCCCGATCGGTCTGAAAGGGCCCTGGGGCCCGAAATTGCACGAGAACATCCGTTGTGAACAGAGTGCAACGCCAAGATCTCAGGGGGCCCCATCTGGGAGGATTCGAGTTGTTGGCGCCGCGCAAGGGGGTAGGGGGAGGGGGGAAGGCTTCTTAGAAGGAGGCTGCTTCTTAGAAGGCGCTGGCCCTACATCTGCAGATCAAGCCCGCGTCTCCCAAGAAGCAGGATTCCTTCTAAGAAGCCCTCCCCCCTCCCCCTGCCCTTATGTCGGGCATGTCCTCATGCAAGCGGGTGCGAAAAGAAAACTGAAACATCGCAACAACGACAACAACCACAAAAACATCAGACATAGTCAAAACAGCACGACCAATCTTCCTCCTACCATTTTTAACTGGTTTGGAATGTTCCTTCTGTGGAGGGACATGCCCAATTTAAGCCTACCCCTCCTGCGCGTGACCGAGATACTGCCCCCCCCCCTCGTTTTGAGGGGTGTGCGCCCCGAGCCCTCCGAGGACGGGGCGGGGCTCCTCCCCTCCCTGCTCCCCGTGGCGGCGTCTCCGGGTGGCCTCTGGGGGGCGGGGGGTCTGGGGGGAGCCTCTTGGGGTCCTCCTCCTCCTCCTCCTCCTCCTCCTCCTCCTCCTCCTCCTCCTCCGCCTCCGCCTCCGCCTCCGCCTCCGCCTCCGCCTCCGCCTCCTCCTCCTCCTCCTCCTCCTCCTCCTCCGCCTCCTCCTCCTCCTCCTCCTCCTCCTCCTCCTCTTCCTCCTCCCATCCCTCCCAGGGGCCATCTGCAGCACGGTGCAGTTTCAGCCCGGGTCCGTTTTTTGACAGCCCTGGGGCCCGAAAACGGCCCCCAGAGGCCGAAAGATAACAAACCAACAAACAAACACAATCAGACCCAGCACCTCGAACCTCGTCCCAACCTTCCTGCTCGCCGGAACCAGTGCTGGGCCACATCAGGTGCCCGCCTTTCTTAGGACTCTGGCAAATCTACTTGCACGGAGGTGGAGGGGGGGGGGCGTGGCGAGGCCCGGAAGGAAACCTGCTCTTCACGCGAGTCGGGACCCACTTGCACGTCTGTTCGGCCCAGCGCCGTCCGAAAAAGTGAAAAAGCAGAGGGGGGTGGGAGAGGGGGGGGGAACTGCCATGCAAGTATTGAAACGTGTGAGATCTGATTGAAAATTCGCTCACAGACCCGCCGCTGGCTGCAAGGCCGGCCGACCACGCCGGCGCCTGGGGTGCCGTGCTCTACGACCTCCCCAGCGTCCAGGACGTACACGCAGTCGAACTCCCGGACGCGGTGCAGCCGGTGGCACACCACGACCTGAGCATCGTTGAACCGATCCCCTCCCCACAGGCGTGGCATGGACACCACTGGCCGAACTTCCCCCCTAGATGGAGGTATAGGCTGTTCCTTTCTTTCAAGGGGCGAAGAACGGTATAAAACAAACTTCGCAGCCGCCCGGGGGGCAGGCGTCCCCGACGGCGGAAAAGTTTTTGTATGGCGTGCTGCACCCGCTAATTCATGCTTCGAGGGGCATGCCCCCAGCTGGGGTGGTGGGATGGAGGGGATCGGGGTGAGGACCCAGACCCCCGACGTCGTGATTTTTGTCACAACGTCCACCCCGCAGAGGCCTGGACCCTTTCCCCGGGACCCGTGCTTCATCCCGAGTCGCTGTTTGATGATCCCAAGGGCCCCCCGGAGGCCGAAAGTGGCGAAAAAAACCTCCCGCGGCGATTTTGCTCGCAACGCGAGTGGGTCCGTGTGGGTGGTGGGATGGATGGGGTCGGGACGGGGACGGAGATGGGGACGGGGATCGGCTGAACCACACGCGACCAGCGTCCAGTCCGCGGGCAGGCCGTGCAGCAGCGTCTCGTGGATGGCCTGGTCCGTCGCCAGGTCGCACGCGGAGGTCGGCTCGTCGCAGAGGAGGATCCTCTCGCCGCGCGGGGACGGACCGTGCGCCCCTCTGGCCATCGCTCGGACGTCCATCCCCGGTGTTTTTTTCGGTTTCGTGCGTGGTTTTTTCGCCAAATGATCAAAGATGCTCCTCGATGGTCCTCGCAGAAAGAAATGCACACGTCCGAGCGATGCCAAGCCCTTAGGAGGCAGCTACTGGGGGGCCTTCGGCGGAAGGATCAACGAGAGAGGATTGCGCCCCATTGGGGGGGGGCTGCTACGCCAGACTGGGCCGCGGAGTCGGCGGGAGCAAGCCGGATCGAGCGGCATGAGGCCGAATTTGGCGGGATCGAGCCAGATTCAGCCGACGACCCTCTCCCCCTGAGATCCCGGGGGTGCAATTCTTGCGAGCCGGGCTCTTCCGCCCGCTTTTTCGGGCACCAGGACCCTCCTCATAGATCGATCCAGCTCGGAAAAGCATGGCGCAGAAAGATGGGGCCTGGGGCTCCGGTCGTGAGGTGCGAGGCTGCCACTGTTTCGCACCGTCGACCGACATTGCTAAATCAGGGCAAGCGCGCGGCGACGACCGCATTTGTTCCCACCAATCAATATGGCAAAAAATACAAAACAAATTTGTCGAGGCCCTGGTTTTGTTTCCTGGTGGGGGAGGGACCCGAGCCATGGGAACGAAAGGAACGGGAGGCTTTTTTTGTTTCTCGTCTTCGGCCTCACGGGCGCCGTCGCCGGGCCCCGGGAGCGTCCAGGAGCGGCGCGGGGGCCCGCGGGGCCTCCGGGGGCCGACGCCGTGAGCAAGCAGCCGACGTCGGGGTGCTGGGCGGTGGCCTCGGAGCCCTGCAGGAGAGCCTCACCCCACGGCTTCGAGGCCCAGGAGGCCCCCGGCCGCCCGAGGCGTCCTCAGAGGACGCCCCAGGTCCCGAGACGGTGCGGCCACTGGGGGAGCCAAGAGGCGGCGCGTTCCGACCAAAGTCTCGCCGCGAAGCCAGCCGCAGCGGCGAGGGCCTCCCAGGAGGCCCCGAGGAGACGAACACGAGGGGAGGGTGAGTCACCCCGAACCCCCACTGCCTCCCCACCACGGTGTGGCCACTCAGGGGAGAAGCATGGACCACCGCCACCGAGAACCCCTCGGTAGGTGTGTATGTAGGTTAACGACCAAAGAGTCGAACCTACACAATAACCCGCAGGCAAAGGTAGGAAAGGAAGAGGGTCGCAAGTCCTTTTCCAGGGCGCTGCGATTGAGGCAGCGCGGTATATTATATCAATACCTTGAGCCGATACGTCAGCGGTGTACAAGGATATATGGTGATATGAGCTGATTTCACACACAGTAGGGGGCCGACCCCTGGGCAGTGGCGCGCCCGAGCGTCGCCGAAAGCACAGAACGGCGCTCGGGTTGCCCAGGGGTCGGTCGCCCCCCGAGGGGTTCTAGGTGTCGGTGGTCCCGAAGGGGCCCAGGGACACACAGATAACTTAGACACAATTCCCAGGATTTCCAAACTTTTCCATAGGTTCTGGGTGCTCGTCTTCCCCCCCACTGGCCATACATTTTCCCACCTATTTTCCTGGGGATCGACGAGGTGAATGGT